ACACGAGGGTTGAAGGTTCAGTCCTAACTAGAGCTGACTTGGGAACTGATAAGATGCATGATAATAGACGTTACAAGAAATTACAGAAGAAAAAAAAAATGCATTTACGAACATGACTCCGAGTGCTGAACTCCCGTGAAGATGATTCTTCTTTTTCTTTTTTTTTTAATGAATCCAGTCTTTAATATAGGCAGTGTTGGGAAGGTTAGAGATTACAAGTTACCTTGTTATAAAAAGTAGTGTAACTATTTCAATTACTTTATTAAAGTACTGTAACTGATTACATTTGATTACTTTTCCATTACTTTTCTACATTTCTAATAAATGTATTCAACTGGCAGGGTTAACCTTACAGTAGTACTCAACACTGATTACTGTCAGACTTTCTAAATCCTTTGTCACTTTAAGATTAGAATAATTTCATTTTAAAGCACAGCAACCACAAAATCAGACTTTAGCACCTCTTCTTACTTTGAGGTCATTCTGAGGTTAAATACTGATTTAAAATCATAACAAGAAACCGTTTAATAGTTATGATGCTGTTTTTGAAATCAAATCTTTGCATAGCTATGACAGAAAACACTGGCATCTAACAATGCTTTGGAAAAAAATACAGTATTAAATAAGCATGTGTCCTATTCTGTGAACTCCTGAAACATTGGTGTGTCTCATATTTTAGAGCAGTCAGTGCAATTTGGGAAAGAAATCAATCAAATCTGTATGTTTGTAAAAATATTCAGATGTAACCCCCTTTGTAATCATTAACATTTTCATAAGTAACTAATTTAATTACACACGCTTTCTTTTAGTAACTGTAACGGATTACAGTTACATTTATTTTGTAATTAAATTATGTCATTCTGTTACATGTAACTAGTTACTCCTCAACACTAAATATAGGAGATGTCTCGGAGACGTTCAAAATGTGTGTTGTTGAGGCCTCCCGGAACAGTTGAGGTGAGAACCGCTGTTATAATTTGCATATTAAGCTGAGATTGGACAAAGTAGTTTAACAAAAAAATTTAAATCACTGTAATGTTTTTAGTAGCATGATTGTTGTAGTGTGTGCAGAGCGAATTCAAGCGAGCTCAAAACCAGTTATAGAAAGTTTGTGAACCGTATTTGTCAGTCAGTGTGCATGTAAATGTCCTTGTTTTCCAGACAAACAACATATGCTTTTTCATCTCGGGTTTGCTTCCACAACTCGTTGCCAAAGTCAGCCTACTTATTCATTTTGTTTTGCCTTTGGCTTTTCCTTTTGCACATGATTAGAGATCGGAAACACCTGTTCATGGCTCAGAGGTGCTAAACTACATGTGTTTTTAATTAGTTTTTGTTCAAATTAAACACAACCGTAATTGTGGTGCTAAAGAAATGGCAGATGGGCCTTACCTTTCCACATAATCTGACTCCATTTTTACATTTGCTACACAAATCTGCTTTATTTGTATTGACTTAATGACTTAAGACTCATTAACGGCAAGAACATTAACTATATTAGCGTCCACAATAATGAACGATAACGTTCTTTTCGCTTATAAGCATGCCCTGCAGTTATCGTCTGCCGCTTTAAATGCTCAAGTAGTTTTGGGTGTCAGTGTTTTCATCGTTCATCACCTGGAAGAAAGTGTTCTAATAGTGATTCCAACAATATTGTCCCTCTGTGTTATCATTATAGCTGGGGTATGACTTCTCTGTTCGCATTTAATTAGAGCGATTGCGGTCTTTTACATCTTTTTAAGGTTCCAAAAGGTTGTTTTTTTTTCAGTGATGCCATAGAACAGGGTTCCTCAATAGGCGGCCCGCGGGCCACATCCGGCCCGTGAGAGAAAAAAGTTTGGCCCGCGCTAATTTCAAATAATGTGGCATGAAAATTCAAACGCAGCATCAGAAAGCTACATTAACTTACATCGTGTCTACACCGGACGCGAGCGGCGTGGCGCTACGCAATAAAATACAAGATTATAATCCGTGATGCTGTCTTGGATGCGGCGCGACACGACAAATCCCTTGTTATGGAATACATGTGTTGGTTCGCAGTGAGTTCACAGTTTTAACGTACAAGTTTGCTTTAATTTATTTTCAAGATCTGAGGTAAAATATCTATTGTTGCTTTCACTATGGCTATAAAGATAATAATATTCAAACTCACATTAGACACTTTTAACATTGAATAAAGCACATAATCATTACCTGAGATTATCACTTCCTAAAATAGAATCCCATGTCGCTTATAGTCACGTGTCGCTGTCGCGGTGGTTAGGACAAAAACTACATGGAAGCTTTTTATCGCGTCGTGTCTGGTTGGGATACACGGTGTTACAGTTTGTAATCCCCCCCAAAAAATCTAAGCATAAAAGAATTAATACTGACAAATCTAATAATTGAATCTGCAATTAGGGAAAGTGGAGAGAAGAGATCCAGTCTGGGAAAGAGCAGGAACAGTTGATTTTTGTTTGTTTGTTCATTTGTTTTTAATATTCAACATGCAAAGTTCTGTATCTAAATGCAAAAATGTTCATAATTATTTGAATAAAACAGACTACTGGGGTAAAAATCTGAATATTAATATATATATATATATAGGTCAGTGGCCCTTGGCTTGGTATTGTTGGCAGAATTCGGCCCTCGGCGAAAACTAATTGAGGAACCCTGCCATAGAAGACCATTTTTGGTTCCTCAAAAAACCTTTCAGTAACCAGTTATTAAAAGAACCATTGTTTTTTGTTAGTGTGAAGAACATTTTAGTAATCTGAAGAACCTTTTTCACTATAAAGCACCTCCAATTCCTTGGATGTTAACGAATTTTCATGGAACCAAAGAATCCAATAACGAACCTTAATGTTTGAGAGTGTAGAGTTTCTCATTTATGAAGAGACATGGTGTGACCATCTGGTTTAATATTTGGAAATCTATCAATAAATTGTAAAAAAATGTAAAATTTCAACATTTTGAATTTCACATCTGTAGAGCATGAATTATGTTCTTTTGCAACTTTCCAATTCTGTGGCGCTGATTCCATTAGGATGCCATTAATAATGGATTCACGTAAAATGTGTACATTCAAAAGCGTCCTCTGCTTTTCTGTGTGACTCATGTCTTTGGATTGTGCATTAGTTTCAGGCACTGGAATGTTTGAGATATTTCATATGTGAATTAAGCGTCACCACCACAAGAGAAATGTGTCTGTAACTCTAGTGTATGTGGGTTCTGCCATGGCCTCGCCGGCTCTGAAAGACACCATCTGTGTGTGTTATGGCAGATAATCATTCAACAGGCTGCGAGGCGGCATTAAATAAACCTACAGGACCAATGTTTGATTAGCGCAATCACCAACTTCATCAAGATCTTCCTAATCTTTGCAGTTCTTTGTTTTAGCACAGACGAATGTTAAATAGTCAATGTATATTTTACGTAAGTAGTTGGCTGACTTGTCTTTGCCAATCTGATTTGTGTTACACAATGATGATTTGTAATCTTTCGAATGTAAAGTTGCGGTAGTACTGTAATCATTTTATTAAGAATAAAAAATCAAGACAGGATCATTTTAATTACCGTATTTCAGTACGTATGGGGTAAAACGAGCCATGTGGTGTGTTTGTTAGGACTGTGTGGATGAGTCCTAATCACTCACGAATGCTTCAGCTGGCAGCGCGTTATGGATTATTACTTGAATACAGCACTGTAATTACGAGGAAGACATTGCCCAGCTGTGTATAGCATGTCAAATGTGGTTTTCGACACAGCTTACTTCTATTTGAGGATAATTTGCCTAAAAACAATTTAATTTATTGGAACAGATGAAACGAAGAAATAATTGCAACAACATATTAAGCAAGCATAATTTATGCCCCATATGCAATGGTTCTCACGCTGTTTTCAGTCTCCGAAGGAAATCACTCCACACTGTTAAACAAGCATGTAATTTGCCTTTAACCACATACAGTGAGCTTGTTAAACACCGGCCCAGTTACCATCTGATGATTATATGAAAACTCCACTCGTGTTGTCTGTGTGATCAACTCAATTTAGGGTATTTATGGAGCATCTCAGATACCACACTGTCAGCAGTAATGTGTTTTATTATAAATGAGATGCTCTTTTTGGAACAGATGAAGGACAAACTAAACGCCGTTTCAGATCAAACACTCCGGGTTCAAGCCGCCTGAAGCTGATTTTTTTCTTGCATCACAATTAATGGTAATTTTCCAGTGAAGAGAGCTCTTAGTCATAGTCTAATATTTTCTTTATTATTTTGCTGTTGGTGCAAAATAATATGATCCAAGAAGAATTCTTAAAAAAATAAAAAAAATCTAGCTTTAATAATGCACCTGTAGGCCTATCTCATTTTGGTTTCATGTGAAAAATTACAATTTTCAGCCATTTTATTTTTATTATTTTTTTTGTACATTTATTTTTATCACTGATTCCCCACAGAAACATTTGATTTTATATGCCTTACAGGAATATTGAATTAATATTCACTGTTCACAGTAGAATATGTATATTCAAGTCACTGTATGAATTGCATGTTTGTGTATTTCTATAAATGACCTGTTGGTAACACTTTAGAATAGGGAACACATTTTCACTATAAACTAGGAGTTTTCCCTCAATAAACTCCTAACTTGCTACTTATTAATCGTTAGTAAGGTTGTTGTTAAGTTTAGGTATAGGGTGGATTAAGGGATCTAGAATAAATGCAGAATAAAGCATTAATATGTGCTTTATAAGTAATATGCATGCTAATAAGCAACTATTTAATAGTGAGAATTGATCATTAAAATAAAGTGTTACAAACCTGTCTTTGAATTTTAATATGGGTTTACAGCTGCTGCTGTTGTTGCGTATACTCTAGAATTACAAGTTATCGGTTTTACAAGTTACTTTTACCGATGCTAAGGTTCAGTTATTCCATTATAATACTTTGATAAGAGTGCATCTTGCTTGTTAGTCTGTTTATTTGAGCACAGGTCTTGACTGATGTGTCTGTTCTGCAGTGGCTGACGTGAACCTGTCGCAGTCTGGAGAGATCGAGGCTGTAGCTGAGGCCCAGAGTGGAGGACTGCCAACAGCTGAAGGTACAGGAACACAAGGCCTGATTAAACTCTATCCCGAAAGCATCATCCCAACACCTTATATCATGCAGTTTAATTTTACTCAGCTTCGCCATTTTTATCACAATCTCACAGACCACCAATTTGGAAAATCCTGGTATACAGCTTCTAAAAGAAAAGTTCAACCAAAAATACTTTTTATAATGCTCAATTCCTTTTTTTTTTTTTGTAGACAGTCATCAGTTAGCACCACATACAATGGGTTCAAAATCCCTCTCCGCATAGCTGTATATTAAACATTAAATATGTTCTTATTGGCTTTTAAGGCCTGTTCACTCCAAGAACTAGAACTATAATGATAACTCTATTAAAAGAAAAAACAAAACAATGGACAATAACATGTTTCTTGTAAGTGTGCACTGCAGTTATGTCATCTGCTGCTTTATATGCTCAAGTTGGATGGATTCTAATTGGATGGATTCTAATTTTAATTAAGTGTTTTTATCATTTATCACTCTGTAAAAGCATTTTTTAAGTTGTAGGTAACTAGGGCTGTCAAAAAAAAATGTGTATATTCGTCGAATTTAAAATAAAAATCCACATTCGAATGCAAAAGCATTGCATTCGAATTTTATGTGTGCGTCAGGCAGCCTTATCATTGGCGCACGAGATGACGATGTAAGTGTCGTTGCATTTTAATGCTTTTCGTAGCTTATCCAGTTGAACCCACTGGATGCGGCGCTGCTACATTGTTCGTTCAAAATATTGCGGACAAAGAGAACATCAATGCGGAGAAGATGTTGTTTACGGAGAAACTGAAACCAAGCCGTTCACACACAACACATATTTATCGCATTTTCTAGAGGGACATCTATCAGCGTTGCACTCGCGTCTCACACAAGAGAGCCGCAGAAAGCCATGTAAAATTAAAGTTAAACTTTTAAAAAACATGTCTTGAGACTTTATGGCGGTTTTTTTGCATCCCACTGCATCTCATGTTTTTAAAGGTGACATATCATGAACATCTGACTTTTCCAGGTTTTAAGTGCTATAATCAGGTTCCCGGTGCATCTACCAACCAAGAAAACGTGAAAAAGATTAACCCAGTAACTTTGTTTTGGTAAGCCTTTTTCTGCAAGAGTCTCAGAAAACGAGCGCGTCTGATCTCGTTCCCCTGGTGACGTGGCAAAGGGATCTCATTATAATATTACCGCCCCTTAATATGTAAGTTTACACACACGGCGCCCTCATTTTGATTTCGCAAGCGACAACGGTGTATTAATTCTAATGCCATGATTTTCAGATGTGTGCTCTCAGAAAACCGTATATCAGAAGATTAAACTAATATGTTTTAAAACGCATGATTTCAGCGCCAATCAGAACCAAAACAGATGTTTTTAGCAGGTCCCAGCTGTAATGGCGCAGCTCTATTCTGGAAAAGGGGGCGGGGAGCAGCAGCTCATTTGCATTTAAAGAGACAGGCCTGAAAAACAGCGTGTTTCTGCTTCCACTCAAAATAGGCATTTTCAAAATTATATAATAAATGATCTGTGGGGTATTTTGAGCTGAAACTTCACAGACACATTCTGGGAACACCAGAGACTTATATTACATATTGTAAAAAGGGGCATAATATGTCCCCTTTAAATGAAAAAAGTGATCCTAGTATTAAACTATACATATATACATACATGACGCTTTTTGTTTCTAATTGTTTAAGCAACGTAATTAACCCTTGTGCGACCTTTTGGATGTTTTTGTCAGTTTTATTTTTTTAAAACTGCTATTTTTAATCGCAGTGCCATTTAACTGTAAAATGATGCAATTTTTGTTAATAGGCTTTCATTCTGTTGGCAAGGCTTCAAAATTAATTTTTTTACTATTTTTTTACCAGATGGTGCCATTTTTTCAGGTTTGGCCTATAAAGAAAATACTCGCTTTATTTCTGTTTTCTGCTTCTGCATATTATAGAGCCAATTGGATAAATAATGCAGCTATAATTGTGTGGGTGTGTTGGTATGGATGTCAGAGTGTGGTTTGTATGTGTGTCATTAAAAAAAAATTGTGTGTGTTCTTGTAATATTTGAGAGAGAAAAACTCTTCTGTTTCTTTTGAAAATTTGGTACTGCGCCCAAACAAAATCTTACTGAAAGCTCATTTTTTGAGATATCAACCTCAAATTTGGAACACAACTTGTTTAGATTTATGGCTTTGATTTTCTAGCAGGTATAGAGTTCAACATGTTTAATCAAATTTATATTTTATATAAAATATCGTTCTTAAATTATTCATAAACATTTCATAAACATAAACCTCTATAACTTTTTTTTACTTCAACAATAATCTGCCATGGGTCTTCTTTAAAATGAGACCAAACTCAACTCCCAAGCTTCAAATTTTTATGACACGGATATTTTTGTCCCCTATGAAACTGTGTAACTTTTTTTTAATTGATGCACAAGGGTTAATTATATATGGTTTAGAAACATTATTTTAAACATTATGCACTTTTTTTCAAAGATAGTCGTGTTATTTTATTGCTTTGAAAAAACGTGCATTAGTAATATTTTGCTCTGCGCCCCCTTGTGGCCTCAGGAGAGAAGCCAAAAGCTAATAGTTGTTAATAGTGAGAATTGGACCTTTAAAAAAAGCGTGACTAAAAATCAGTGAATAACTGCACGATAGGTGTTCAAGACAAGGTTTGGATCATGAAATGCGGCCTGCTATGTCCGTCAGGAGTGCGTCTGCGTTTCTGCTTTCCGTGTGCATAAATCAAGAGTTTCAGGAAAAGCCACCACTTTGCTCTGGCAGGCCAGTTTAATAGCAGCTCTGAGTATGAGCGCTGCAGAGACTATTTGTGTTGGCCACGGGACCAAGGGGTCTGGGGACGAGAGGAAACCGTAATAGTTTTCAGGAGAGTGAATGAATGTATGAAGGGCAGTGTTTCTAAACCATGCATTACCAATATGAACTTGAAGCAAGAGAAAAGCTCACAGAGGCTGTGAAACACGTTAGCAAGCGAAATGTAGAAGAAACAGTCGGAAGTGAATTCTTTTGTCTAACCAGGTGCATGATAAATCATCCAGAAAATAATGTCTCCATATTCAAAACCAGTTGTGACAGTCACAGAACAGTTGTGTGTTCTGCAACATACATTTTAATAGATTTTTGGTTTCTGTTTTATGGCTTTAGGCTAATTAGCTTCACCCACAGAAAGCTTCTGAGGGAGTTACAGCGATCAGTCGTATTACATTAAAGAGCATCAAAACATTTTTTTTTTTTTTGGAGTTTTGTGATTTTGAGACTTTTCTTAAAAACAACAAAACACAAAAAATGTTGCAATGTTTTGCAATGTTGATCAGCAAATTAATACATCAACTGTTAACTTTGGCTCTTCTTGTAAAAAAGTGTGCTTAATTGTATTGAATGTGTAGTATACTTCAAATCTTAAAAGTATATATTAAAAAAAAGTACTTGCAGATAGTAATGAAAAAAGGCCACTTAAAAGTACTTGAAAGTACACTTCATTTAAGTAGACTTCAAAAATGTGCACTTTCTAATGTCAAATTATGTTTTACTTTGAAGTGCATTTTAAGTCATTGTTTAAAACTTTTCAAAAAATATTAAGTTTGCACTAAATGTATATTATTTCTGTTGTAACTTTTTTTTAAAGAATGCATTAAAGTGTACTTCTCTCAAGGGTTCATAAGAGTCGCTGGCTTCAAGGGTGCATATTCCTCCAACGTTTTAATGAAGTGTTTGAACAATTAAATATGTTGGTATGTTTGACCAGCAATAACTTTGCAAGATCTGCTACAAATGATGTTTATTGAACTTATATTTACATATCAACTGAAAACAACCGTAGGCTAAAAGATCGATCTTGGGATTGAAGAATTGTTATTGTTAAAATGGTGATTGTGAAGCATTGTAAAATCATTATTTTTATCCACCTATCTTGAAATCTACTTGAAAAGTTATTTTAGCTTTTAGCGTTGCGTTTGAAGGCCAGAGGTTGGTTATATGGCGAGTTATAATGGCTTGTCAGCAGTGCTTGTGTTGTTTATCGTTCCAATCATGGCCGCCCACAAGTAGTCAAACCCACTTAACCTCGCCTGCCAGCTGCACTCGCCAATCCTGGGCTACAGAGAGATCTCTCTGAGTGTTTTTTTTTTTTGCATAAGTGGCTGCATGATGGTCCATTCCAACTATGTTCGTGAGTCTTCTTCGTTGTTGTCTTCATCATCTTCTTTTTTCTGCAATATTCTTCTAAATTCTGAATCATAGGACTAATCTCTAGCTAATTTGGCTCTATCTAATTCTTTTTTTTCTTTCAGTAGTTAGTGCTTTACTTTGTGCTATTCACAGTATGTTGTGCTTTAGTAAAGTGAAGTGACGAGTACAGCTTGGCATGTTGGAGTGGGTGCAGCTTTATGCTTTGTCTTGTTTGCTCTTTCAGTTGCACTGGCATCTATGCATGAGTAATAATGGATTAGTGCGATATTAATTTCACATTCTGCCTGTTCTAGCACGCTGACTTTACCTGACTGTAAGTCTAGCCGCACATAGTGGTTCTCAGTGTCGGTGCTGTGGTTCACTGATGTTGAACACGTTCCTGTACAGTAGTGGCTGTCTCATTATGTCACGTCTTCAGAGCGTCAGCTGAGCGTGAGCACAACACCCTCGCTCATGTTTACAGATAGCGGAGGGCCTGTAACAGCTTGCCTTTACCACAGTGAGGGTGTATGGACTCGTGTGTTTTCACGGCTTCACTTTCTCAGTCATTCACAGTTTGGCTTTGCGACACAATTGGGCCTTTCATGCCTCAGTTTCTTCACAAATCTTCTGTGATGTGATGCACATCTTGTCAATGCTGCCTTGGTTTGATGGTGGTCGTTTTTCTTTTTGCTGTTTCGGTCTTTTCCTGTCGTCTTTTGTTGACTGTTGAATTATCTGCTGCTAGGGATTATTACTGTTTCATGTTGTTCCTAACTGAACAATGTGTTTTAGTTGCTTTAAACCTA